TGGAAGCTGTGACCAGTTTTTTTTCACGTACGAGGTCGAAGTCTGCGGCCTATTAAACTCATATGAAATTTTTTATATTTTTTACCTTTTTATTAGTCATATTAAACTAAAATTTGATATTTTAGAAGTCTGCAATAGCATTTGTTAAATGCCTTCATCTCCTCTTTTGAATACCCAATGTTAAATGCCCAAAAGCATACGAAGGGTAGTGTAAATTCTGCTTGATGTAACTTTTAAATGATAGAATAAGTTACATTAATATGACTAGAATTATGATCTGCTTGTTTGGTTGTAATTAATTTTATTCGGTCCATAAACTTATTCAGGTCATTTTAGTAGACATAGTCAAACTACATTTTCTTTTCTTACAAAATTTATACTGAGATAAAAGACCACTTTCTTCAATAGATTTCCGTTTCTTAGCATCACCGTCGTTGCCAAGAGATTAGTTAGGACCAATATAGTTTTTGAATTTTTTTACATCCTTATTTCGATATTCTCCATTTGATTCATAATAATAGCGTTAGTGTTTTTAAGAATATCCATTAAATTTTCTTTTTTCAATAAGTTTATTAATTTAGAATTAGATTCTTTACGAAAATGAAGTTCTATTAAACTAAAAGATTTGGAGTATCTTTCACTATCGCTTTATCACTCTCAAAATAAATAGGAGAATAACCAATTGTATACTTATTTTTCTGTAGACGGACTCCAAATGATTTATCTAGATTACTTTTTATATCAGACTCCTGCAATAATCGAATATAGTTTCTTGAACTTGAGTCGTCCAGCAACTGTGTTGAATATGATTTGTCGAAATTTTTCGTAGTAGTATCTATAGGTTCACTATTATCATCAGACATATCTAATTCATTCACAGTATCATCGTTACCAAGTAGCAGATTAAAATATAGTATCTAATGGTTGCATATAAATATCAAACTCATTGGTAGTATCAATAAAGTATAGAGATCTCTTTGAACTATTGCTGCTTTTGACTTGAAAATTTTATTCTATTCTTAGATGATTCTATTCTTTTCGTAGGTATTTCGATAGTAGGAGTAGTATTAGTTTTTTTAATATCTTTCTCTACAAGTTGTGCACAATGCCTGCATTATGAGGGAGTACAAGGTTCCGAAATAGTATAGTATTGAAATAACAAATAAAGAGTCGCTGAAAAAAGCAAAAGTATCACGCATTCAGTTTATCGAAAATGCTTAAATGGAGAAGAAATTATTAAATGTACTCAGTGTAATATACGAATCAAATTACATCAAGTATTAATAGAGAGTGAGAAAAAGACAGCACTAAGTCTTCATGATGGTAAACATTGTATATTTGATAATAATCTTTCCATATTCCATTCCATTCCATATTCAGATATTTAATAATAATCCAGACATACTTTCATATGGGTATTATAAAACTCTCAAAATTAGAAAACTGACAAAGAGAGTTGCAAAACTACGAGTAAGAGATAGAGAGAAAACAAAGTGATGAAAGAGCATAACATTGTAAAAAGATTAAGAATCGAAAAAAATTATTCTAGAGGACAGCATCAACGAAAGGATTCTACTCATTCGACAGTCAGGAGATGTTGCTCACGACCAGCATCAAGTAGCGAGCAGGACGAGCCGCCTAGAAAGAGATTGAAACTGACAGCAGGTTAGAAGGAAAGAATGACGAGAGTGAAATACCGGCTGCCAGAATCGGTGGAGTGGGAAAATGGCTTAAAATGAAGAATCGTCAGAGACGAGAAACTGAAAGTGAGGGAAACGAAAACATCGGCTCGAGCTCTAAGAGTGGAGTTGATACTAATAAAACTGAGATTTCGCTATTATTAAATTCTGAACAGTTGTTCAGAATTCGCTCAAAAACAACAGCCTTACTCTCAATCACTAGTATATCAACTACCAACTCATAAAACAAGTAAGTCACTTGAATAATTTCTATTTATTAATACGCTAGCAATAAACAATCAACTAATTCTTTGATTTTTACTTTTTTGTAGAATGGATTTTCCGACAATGAATAAGGTTGCCAAAACGACTTCCCTTTCCAGGAAGACGATGTCTCAACTAGCTAGGGACAATCTCCACCAAATCACTCAAGTCAAATGATTAATAAATCGATATGAATTTAGCGTTATCATTACCATTGATGACGAATTTCAGATGTTTTATTCTAAAAATGTGGGCATGCTTCAGAAATACAAACAAATGCTTAAGGGTTTATAACAAACTAGCAAGAAGGAAGAGCTGTTTATTTCTCATCGCGATGGTCCTAACTTCGAATTTAAAAATAATTGTCGTATAGACCGAAGAAATAATAAAAATATTTTTGTATTACTATTGTTATTAGTTAGTTTTTAATAAATATAATTTACTAAATAAAATTAACAAAAAATAATAACCAATCGAATAGTGTTATTTTTATTTAACTATCTTCTTATTTCCTTTTATGGAGAGATGAAAGTACATCCTTTTTCAAAAATATGTTTAGACTTGCTAACTCGTACTTTATCGCCTACTCAGAATTCCGGTTTCTTAATGAAAAGACGTTGATCGTAAAAGAATTGTCTCAGCATTTCTATTTCATTCATCTATAGTCACATCTTTAGTCTTCATTTCGATTATACGATGTTTTCGGTTATTGTAAGATTTGAATAAATCAACAAGAATATCAAACCATTTGTCATTTACTTGTGGACTGAATCATTTCTATATAATATTTTCTAGCGTACGGTTGAAAGATTCGAAAATATATGACTTAAGATTGCTATAAGTAGAACATAGATGCTATCACATAGATGCAATCATCCCCAATGCTACATTAACCATGGAGTGCTACTTATATGCAGGTGTCCAGTCAAATCAAGTTGCTTTTTTGTACTCTCTCTCTCTCTATCTCTCGCTAATTTTTTCTCTTCATAGTAGATTCGCATCCGCGTAAATTTGAGTTGGATAAATTGAATTAAATTCGGTGATACTGGATAGCATAGCGCTTATTCGTCGGCTGCCTTGTATTTCTTTTTCCTCTTGTTCAAACCGCCGGTTGTTATCTCAAGTTGTAGGTGAGAGATTTTAAATAGCTAAGGCATTGAACCGCCGGATATTTCTAGCTTGCATCGCCAGGTATCTTTTTTTTTTATTCTTGTTGAATAAATCGATTGAGTTTGTTTTTCATTCATTAATTAAATTCATTTCCTCTGTTAACCTTCCGTCTCCTTACCCCAACCGTAAGAGCGAGGACGCTTCCTTTATCCTCCTTTCTAAAAAATTGCTAAGGCGAAGCAATTTTGTTACAGTCCTTTATGCTGCAAAATTTTAAATATATAGAAATATATTATTTAGTGGATATATTTTCATATATACGAGGTGTCATCAAAAAGTAAGGTGAATTTTTATTTTTCTCAAAAAATATTTATTTATTCATCAATTTTTATTTTATCTCCTTCAAAGTAATCCCCCTCGGATATAATGCACTTGTGCCAACGCTTTTTTCAATCCTCAAAGCATTTCAAAAAAATATTTTTTGTGATCTTGTTTAGTTCATCCTTCGATGCCGTCTTTATCTCCTCAATCGTGGCAAAACGCCGTCCTTTCATGGGCCTCTTCAGTTTTGGGAACAAGAAGAAGTCACAGGGAGCCAGATCTGAGGAATACGGTGCCTGTGGCATCGTTACTGTGTTGGTTTTAGCCAAAAATTCGCGCACAAGCAACGATGTGTGAGCAGGGGCGTTATCATGGTGCAAAAGCCAATTTTTATTTTTCCACAAATTCGGACGTTTCTGGCGGATTGCTTCGCGCAAATTGCGCATAACTTGCAGGTAATATTCCTTATTTACTGTTCTACCCTGTGGCAAGAACTCATGATGCACCACGCCCCTGCAGTCAAAGAAAACTGTAAGCAAAACCTTTACATTTGATCGAACTTGGCGTGCTTTTTTTGGTCTTGGTGATCCAGAATGCCTCCACTGGAACGATTGAGTCTTAGTCTCAACGTCATAACCGTATACCCATGTTTCCTCACCTGTTATAACCCTGTTGAGTAAATCTGGATCATCGTTGACGTCATTCAGTAGCTCTTGGGCGATGCTCATGCGACGTTTCTTTTGGTCGAAATTGAGCAATTTCGGAACAAACTTCGCTGACACACGTCTCATGTCTAAAACACTCGTCAAAATTGATTGGCACGAACCAAATGAGATGCCAATATCATCGGCAATTTCTCTAATGGTAATTCGACGATTTCCCAACACTATTTTCTTCACTTCTTCAACATTCTCATTAGTTGTTGATGTGCTGGGGCGTCCAGAACGAGGTTCGTCGTCGGTGTCTTCTCGGCCTTCTTGGAAGAGTTTATACCACTTGTAAACATTTTTTTGGCTTAAAGTAGACTCACCGTATGCCACTTTCAGCATTTCAAGTGTTTTGGAACATTTGATTCCATTTTTCACACAAAATTTAATGCAAACTCTTTGATCCATGTTTTTAGACAACAGCAAATCGTGGAGCACGCAAAACACTTCTAACCTTGATGCCTCTCACAAACAAACCAAACATACTACAAAGCAGAAATTTGGAACGTATGTTCTCGACGAGTGTACCGACATAACCAAATAAAAAAGTCGAAGATCGAACGTACGTAGCCCGCTAAATTTCAAAATTCACCTTACTTTTTGATCACACCTCGTAAATATGTTTCTACAAATGTGCGCATAGGTCAGAAGAGATTAAATAATGTTTACATGTTAAATAATTTTATCGAAACGATCAACGATTATTATTTAGAAAATTAGGAAAAATTTTTTTATATCTTTGATTCATTTGTATAAAACATACATTACTATTAATAATGATGAAGGATGAAAAATAATAAAAGCTTTACAAAGGAACTCTCGTAAAATTTAAAAGAACAAATTATATAAACTAATTGTAAGTAATATTCAGTATATAATTATTTATATTAGGTATTCTAATAGCTTTTAATTGTTTTAGGTAAGATATTATCTGAGGGAATAGGTGAAGTACAGGAATATATAGATATATGTGACTATGCGGTCGGACTATCCCGAATGTTGCCGGGAAAAATTTTTCCGTCAGAGCGAGATAACCATATTTTACTAGAATTATGGAATCCCATAGGTGCAGTAGGAATTATTACAGCTTTCAACTTTCCCGCAGCTGTAAGTATATTAGTCTTTGCAATAATATAACTTTCATTAAATTCCGTATACTCCATCTGTTTTTATTAAATTCTTTAACTAAAAGTGATTTAAAGACACTGAAAGAGACCCTACATACAACAGTATGTAAATACAACAGTAGGATAATATGTTATCGAGAATAAGACATTACCTTACCGAAAGATGTATAGGTGTGAGAACGACAAATCGCATATTTGACCTTACATGAGATATGATCTCATTTCAAAGTTGTTATGGAGATTCGAATTTTTTCTAATATTAATGAAAAAATAAAATAAAAAGCTTTTTTTTCCGAACCAAATCATCTTTTAAATTAAATTTAAATGACAGAATTCGATTATTTATAATATATCATAATTAATCGTTTGTAACGGTCCTATCTATGAGCTCTTCTCTTATTTTCACTGGATTACTGCAACACGCTAAACTCGTCAATCTACTCAATTCAATTAGTATATACAAAGTCTGTCCGGAAAGTATCGGGCCTACCTTTATATTTTCGGGCTAGCGTTATTCTTTATCATCTGGTGGGTGGCATCCTTCAAAATAATTGAATAACAATAATACCCACTTGATTGAATAACACGGTTCCATCGATGTTTCCACTTTTCAAAACAGTCCTGGAACTCACTTTTAGGGATAGCCTTACGTACACTCGTCGCATTGTTTTCAACCGTTGAACACGGCACCGACCTCGACCTTCAGCCTCTCCGACGGCTAGAGCGCTCTGCACCGTGACGTCACTGGTGTGCTCCCCGCTGACCGTCTCGCTAATGTTTGTTGTCGTCGCTATTTTCCTCCTTCTCGTTCCCTCGTTCGCCCCACAATACTGCCGCCTCAATCCGTACCTCGCTCGTTAATTGTTGTTATTGTTGTTATCGTCGTTATCCTTGTTGTTCAGTACTGCAGCACGTCCAGACTGCTCACGTGCGCACTCACGCACCTCGCCGGTTACCCACACGCACCAGTACCGGGTATACTTCGGAACACGGCTGGGCGCGACCCAGCCTCACGCTCCAATACTCGTCCGCGCACCGGGCATGTCTCCGAAACGAATGAACGTCGACGAGGTCGCGGGGCCAACTTGGAAAACCGTAACCTTTCGGTTTTATCCGCGCGCGCGACTTCCTCTACTCATAGCTTAGCAGAGACTTCCCGAATTTTTTTGCGGCGTTCCGCAATTCGAGCGTCCTCTCTCTCCCTCACTCTCTCTCTCTCTCTTCTTCTTCTGCGCTATCTGCATCGCTCCAGTCGTCAGCTCAGCCCGTGTTCAGCAGCTCGTAAACAAAAGATCCAAGCATGAGTGTGTGTACCAAACGCACACACTCTCAGCCTGGCGCGGCGCACGGACATGTGCGAGAGCCAAACGGACGAGATCGGCCTAGCCGAGATTCTCCGTTACAACATAGATTTTTAACATTCACACACTACAAAATTAGTCCAATAACAACAACGATAATAATGACAGGAATTAGAAAAGTCGACTCATTTTTGTTTCTTACATAAAACATCTAATCCATTAAATAAAATAAATTTTGACAGCTTACAATTTCTTTATTCTTCATAAATCGATTAACAAACTCTAACTTTACAGTGCTCGTTGAGCAATTGAGCATTGGTAGCGAGCAGACGTGTCTGCTGTTGTCTCTCTTATTCAGTTTGTTCTCATACTTGTGCTCAGTGCTGTACTTGCATTTACACACTATTTGCAGTGTTTGAACTAAACAAATCCTCAGCGATTGCTTCCATAACAGGGTGCCTAGAAGAAAACTCGAGTTCCTATTCACCGACTGTTCCCCCCTTTGTACGCTCAAGCCACTTATCAACCATTGAGTGAAAATGCCATTGTCATCAAATCTATCGACGGGTTATCTAACGATTGTCACACAGACGGCTTAGAAAACTTAATCGACGTCTATCACATAAAATTTATATTTAAAATTTCCGGAGATTAGATTTCACTCGAGGGGAGTGTGGACGTGTATTGGATGTGAGCGCGAGTTTTGGTAAGAAAGTCAAAGAGGAAAAGTGTTTGAGGAGAGAAATAGAGGTAAAAAGAGCGTGGAGGTGGAGGAGGAGTGGAGAAGAGAGAGAGAGGCCCGGAGAAAAGCAGGAAAAAGCAGAGAGAAAGGAATAAAGAATAAAATAAAAGTTGAGGTTAAGAGAGAAAATCAGAAAGCGGGAAAGGCAGGCAGAGAGTAGGGGCGGTAAGAAGTAAAGGCAGAGACAGAAAAGGTAAGACAGGAAATAAAGGTGGGATCACCGGTAGTTATAGAGAGTCGAATTAAGGCGTACGGGATAGGATGGAAAGATTTGTGACAACAGAAAAATTAAGAGATAAAGGTGGAAGGTTGGATAAGAAAGGCCCAGAGGAGGAAAAGAAGAAAAGAGTAAAGGTGGTGAGGGGGAGAGAGAGCGGGGAGGGGCTGAGGGAGAATAATAGAGGAGAAATGAGAGAGGTAAAGAGATGCAAGTGTGAGAGCGAGGGAAGCGAGATGGATGGGGAGGGGGGAGAAGGATTGGACAACCCGATAAGAGAAGTGGGAAAAAGTAGTGGTGCAGAAGAAATAATGGAAAAGATACGGACAGACATAAGGGAATTAAGAGAGGTATGGGAGGAGGAAAGGAAAGAATGGACAGAAATGTTTAAAGAAATAATGGGAAAAATGGAAAGAATGGAGGCAGAGGGGAAAAGAAGAGAAGAAAGGTGGGAGAAGGAAATAGGAAAAGTTAGGAAAGAACAAGGGAGAGAGAGAGAAGAAAGAAAGAAAGAGACGAAAGAAGAAAGGGAAAAAGCAGAACGTAGAGAAAAGAAACTGCAGGAAAAATGGGGAGAGAGGATGGACCAGTTGGGAGAGGAGTGCGTGAAACTAAAAGAAAGCATAGAAGGAGGAAACAAGAAGCAAAGAGGAACAGAAGTAGGCAATAAGGAAGAATTAGAGCATATGAGAGAAAAAATGAATAGAGAAAGTAGGATAAACAATATAATAGTAACAGACTTAGAGGGTGAGTTAAGATGGGAAAAGAAGGGAGAGGCAGAGGTCTGGTTAAGGGAGGTACTAGAAATGAAACGAGAGATAGTGAATCTGAGAAGAATAGGAGGAACAGCGGAGAGAGATGATCGGAGAGAAAGAAGTAAAAAAAATATGTGGCAAATTAGATGCGCGTCATGGGAACAAAAAGAAGGAATTATGAAGAAGAAAAAGAATCTGGCACAGAAAATGATATACATACGAGGTGTGTTCAAAAAGTAAGGTGACTTTTCACATTTCATGGGCAACGTACTTTCGATTATCGATTTTTTTGTTTTGTTATGTTGGTACACTCTTCCTGAACATCGTACCAAGTTACAAGTGTATAGCATTTTTTGTTTGGTTGTGAGAGGCGTAAAGGTTATAAGTGTAAAAAATGAAATAAAGTGCTCCGAAACACTTAAAAATGTTGACGGTGGCATACGGTGACACTGTTCTGAGTAAAAAAAATGTATACAAGTGGTACAAACTCTTCCAGGATGGCCGGGAAGATACCAATGACGAGCCTCGCTCTGGACGCCCAAGCACGTCAACAACTGATGAAAACGTTCAAGTAGTGAAGAAAATTGTTCTGGAAAATCGTCGAATCACTATCAGAGAAGTTGCTGAGAATGTTGGTATATCGCTTGGCTCGTGCCATGAAATTTTTTCTAACGTTTTGGGCATGAGACGTGTGTCAGCGAAGTTTGTTCCGAAATTGCTAAATTTTGACCAAAAGAACCGTCGCATGAACATCGCTCAAGAACTGTTGAATGACGTCAACGACGACCCAAATTTACTCAAAAGGGTCATAACTGATGATGAATCATGGGTATATGGTTATGATATCGAAACCAAAGTCCAATCGTCCCAATGGAAGAGCCCAGATGATCCAAGACGGAAAAAAGCACGCCAAGTTCGATCAAATGTCAAAGTTTTGCTCACTGTTTTCTTCGATTACCATGGCGTGGTGCATCTTACCATATGAACGTACGGTCAATAAACAGTATTATCTTGAAGTTATGCGCCGTTTACGAGAAGCAATACGAAGAAAACGCCCAGAATTGTGGAAAAACAATTCATGGCTTTTGCATCACGATAATGCCCCTGCTCACTCATATTTGCTTGTGAGAGATTTTTTGGCCAAAAACAACACCATAATCATGCCTCAGCCACCATATTCGACGGATTTGGCCCCATGTGACTTTTTCTTGTTCCCAAAACTAAAAAGACCTATGAAAGGACGGAGATTTGCAACGATTGAAGAGATAAAGACTGCATCGCTGGAAGAGCTCAAGGCTATACCGAAAAGTGCTTATGAGAAGTGCTTTGAGGATTGGAAAAACCGTTGGCATAAGTGTATTGTATATGAGGGGTATTACTTTGAAGGGGACAACATAAATATTGATAAATAAATACATATTTTTTCTTAAAAATACAAAGTCACTTTACTTTTTGAACACACCTCGTAGATCAGGACTGGACGTGGAAGCAGAGAAAGATAAGAGAGGAAGTAAGAAGGAAAGCGAAAGAAATAAGAAGTAAAGATAAAGAGGTAAAGATGTGGCATAACGGGGTGAAATCAGAGGAAGAAGAATGGTGGTGGAGCGAGAGAGAGGGAAAAATGGTAGGAAAGGGGGTGGAAGGGTTTCGAAAACAATAGGGATAAAAGAGAGAGAGAGAAGAGAAGGGAGAGAGAGGGGAGAAAGGTAGTAACAATACTATTCTGGAACGTGGCGGGGGTGAGGAGCATGGAGGAAGACGACTGGGAATATGTTAGGGAATTCGACATAATAGGGCTAACGGAAACCTGGGTAAAGAGACAAGGGGCAAGAACTGGTGTGGAGAAACAACTGAAATGGTACAGTATAGAGTGGAGGGATTCAAGAAGAGAAGGAAGAAGGGGGAGAGAAAAAGGAGGAGGAATAATGGCGGTAAGAGAAAGGAAAGGGATGAATAAGGTAGAAT